AGGAAATGTGGCGGATCACGAGTAAGGTCGCATCCAATAAATAAGATGTTTAACGTCTAATCTTAAACTTTATTGGACGACATGCAGACAAAGAAAGATTGAAGGGAGTTAATAAATAAATATTAAAATCATGTTTATGTCTGTTATTCACAGTTTTATATCCGGTGAAGTGGTTCAAATTATTAACAATAACTTCTAATTACGTATATTTAAATTTAATGCATCAATTTTTTAAATTTTTACTTTACAGTACAATATAGATATACAATAGAGAAAATACGGATAATAGTACTAAGATTTACAAAGACTTTTAAGAATAATAGCTATGTAAGTATAGAATGCTACATGATAACCAAATACAGGTTAAGATAAATATCAACTTTGTTATGCATTTATTATTCTGATAAATCGCTCTTGCATTATCAAAAATGCAGATACAAAGTAAGGCTAGCCTGTTAAACACTATATTGATTATTTGTTTGTTTTGAACTTATGAGTTCATAGACAGAATACGTTTGACCAACTTGTATTTCAGATGGAAACAAGTTTTCTGCAATTTTTAAAGAACTACTCGAAGGCCAACAACCAAAATCCTCATCAATTATATAGTCGATTAGTTCATGATCTGTGGATATATACTCTAAAGTTTCTGCCATCAGATAACGGACCAAAAATCGCTTCAATACAATCAATAACTCACAAGCAGAAATTCGATTCTTAGATTGCGTTTCAAATGCTATAACTTCAAGGATCCGAATATTCATGTTTCGTGATAATGGTTTCTTATACTTTACGTCTATATCATAAAAACTGAATGTTTTCATACTTTCCACTCTTTCATATAGGCTAATAAGGTGTCTGAGGTGTAAACCAGCACTAAACATTCCACAAAACTCTGCATTTTCTGTCAAAATTGACAAATTCATTTGTTGAGAAATATAATCCTTGATAGATATCTCGCCATTCATTTCAGAGTTGACATTACATATTAGCATTTCTAAAGCAGGGAGCATTCTAGATGCATTCTCTGACGAAAATGATTTATCAAGCACATGGTTATAAAGGATTGATGAGTTTATACTTGCAATTGGAATTGGCTCTTGAGCAACCAATTTTTTGAAATTCTTTAAAGCGTGAAAATCCCGCAAGAACATCTCTCCATAATAAGGGAACAGAAATGATGTGCTGAAAGTGTTTCTAATAAGGAACTTATTAAAAACCAGCTGATGCGCAAGTTCTTTTTCAATTTGATATAAATCGTATACGATGTCCTCTCCATAGCGGATCTCTAGATTCCGTTGGCTATATTGCAATATATTATCATCCCATT